GGATCTTTTGTGGGATAATCTAATTTTATGACAACAACTGTTTGTGTGTCATTTTTTGCATCTTTTGGAAACTCAGGAAACTGCCACACTGACCAAAACATCAAAAGAGAAAGTGAAAGCAGCACCACTATGCCAAGGCAGAGATCTTTACAATGAAAGCAAGTGTTGGTAGCTGTGGCCCTTCCAGCAGCTCTCCCTCCGGGGCCTTGCCAACTCAGAAAGGGCAGCCCAAGCTATTTTTTTCAAGACCCCACCAAGGTGTGTACTGCGCCAGCAACTATTGCAAATGATCCTGCTTTCTTGATTTCATTTTCTGTTACTTTGTTATTGGAGTATAAAAATGGCTATTAATTTGTGGGTGTTGATTTTATATGCTGCAACATCAGTGAAATTTTTAATCAGCTGTAAGAGTTTTTTTGTAGAGTCTATAGGTTTTTCCCTATATAAGATCATGTCATCAGCAAACAAGGATAGTTTGACCTTGTCCTCTATAATCTTGCTGCCCTCTATTTCTTTCTCTTGCCTGATTGCTCTGGCTAGTACTTCCAAAAGCTTTCAGCTTTTCCCCATTCAGAATAATATTGGTAATTGGTTTGTCATAAACGGTTTTTATTATATTGAGATAATTTCCTTGTATACCTGATTTGCTGAGAGTCTTAATCAGGAAGTGATGTTGAATTTTGTCAAATGCCTTTTCTGCATCAATTGAGATAATCGTATGGTTTTTGTCCTCAGTTTTGTTGATGTGGTATATCACATTTATTGACTTGCATATGTTGAACCCATCTTGCATCCCTGGGACGAATCCCATTTGATCATTGTGTATAATTTTTTTTATGTGTTGCTGTAATCTGATTGCTAGTATTTTGTTGAGGATTTTTGCATCTGTGTTCATCAGGGATATTGGCATCCTTATCTGGTTTTGGTATCAGGGTGATACTGGCCTCATAGAATGAGTTTGGGAGAATGGCTTCTGTTTCAATTTTTTGGAAAAGTTTGAAGAGAAGTGGTATTAATTCTTCTTTAAAGGTTTGATAGAATTCAGCTGTAAAGCCGTCTGGTCCTGGGCTTTTCTTTATTGGAAGATTTCTGATTACTGCTTCAATCTCATTGCTTGTTATTGGTCTGTTAAGGTTCTCTGTGTCTTCTTGGTTTAGTCTTGGTAGTTTGTATGTGTCCAGAAATTATCCATTTCCTCCAGGTTTTCATATTTGTTGCTGTAGAATTGTTTATAATAATCTCTAATGATTTTTTGTATTTCTGTGTTATCAGTTGTAATGTCTCCCTTTTCATTTCTGATTTTCATTATTTGGATCTTCTCTCTTCTATCTTTTGTTAACCTAGCTAATGGCTTATCTATTTTATCTATCTTCACAAAAACCAACTTTTTGTTTCATTGATTCTTTGTATTGTTTTTTGAGTCTTTATTTCATTTAGCTCTGCCCTGAGCTTGATTTCTTCCTATCTACTACTTTTGGGATTGGATTGTTGTTATTTTTCTAGTTCTTTGAGGCATAGTGTTAAGTCATTTATTTGAAAACTTTCCATTCTTTTGATATAAGCATTTATTGCAATAAAAGTCCCTCTTAGTACTGCTTTTGTAGTATCCCATATGTTTTGGTATGGTGTATCTTTATTTTCGTTAGTTTCAAGAAATTTTCTGATTTCCTGTTTAATTTCTTCTTGGACCCATAGGTTATTCAGGAGTCTGTTGTTCAGTTTCCATGCCCTTGAGTAGTTTCCAGAAATTTGCTTGTTATTAATTTCCAGTTTTAATCCATTGTGGTCTGAAAAAATACTTGGGATGATTTCAATTTTTTCAAATTTGCTAAGACTTGATTTGTGACCTAGCATGTGGTCTGTCCTGAAGAATGTTCCATGTGCTGATGAGAAGGATGTATATTCTCTAGTTGTGGGATGAAATGTTCTATAGATGTCTGCCAGGTCCAATTGGTAAGGTATAGTTTAAATCTTGTGTTTCTTTGTTGACTTGTTGCCTGAAAGAGCTGTCTAATGCTGAGAGATGGGTGTTCAGGCCACCCACTATTATTGTATTTGGGTCTATCTCTTTTTTTTTAGGTCTAAGAGTGTTTGCTTTCCATATCTCTGTGCTCCACTGTTGGGTGCATACATATTTATGATTGTTATGTCCTCTAACTGGATAGATCTCTTTATCATTATGTAATGGCCTTCTTTATGTCTTTTCATGGTTTTTGGTTTGAAGTCATTTTTTCTGATATAAGAATAGCTACCCCTGCTCATTTTTGGTTCCTGTTTACATGGTATATTTTTTCCATCCTTTCACTTTTAGTCTGTGCTTTTCCTTATAGGTGAGGTGGGTCTCTTGAAGACAGCATATAGTTGGGTCTAGCTTTTTAATCCAACCAGTCAGTCTTTGTCTTTTGAATGGTGAGTTTAATCCATTTACTTTTAGAGTTGTTATTGATAAGTATTGCTTTACTTCTGTCATTATATTGCTTTTTGTTTAGATGTTTTAAGCAACATTTGCCCCTTTCTTTCCCTTTTGTTTTTCATATTCAATGCTAGTTGTATTTTTGAGGTGACATGATTTAGCTTCTTTCTCTTTCTCATTTGCATTTTGGTTTTAATGGTGGGTTTTGCTCTTTCTTGTGAATCCGTGATATTGATTATCATTTTTCAGATTCTGGATGCAGGACTTTGAGTATTTCTTGCAGGGCTGGTCATGTGGTAGTGAACTCCTGTAATTTTTGTTTGTCAGGGAAATCCACTGTTTCTCCCTCATTTCTGAAGGATAACCATGCTGGGTGTAGGATTCTCAGCTGGCAATTTTTTTCTTACAGTCTTTTGAATATATCACCCCATTTTCTTCTGGCCTGTAAGGTTTCAGTTGAGAGGTCTGCTGTTAGTCTGATAGGGGCTTCCTTATAGGTGACTTGGTGCTTTTCTCTTGCTGCTTTTAGAATTCTCTCTTTGTCTCTGAGTTTTGCAGTTTGACTATCATGTGTCTTGGAGAAGATCATCTTGGATTGAATCTATTTGGGGATCTTTGGGTTTCATGGATCTGAAGGTCTGCCTCCCTCCCTATACCTGAGAAGTTTTCTGTTATTACTTCCTTGGATATATTTTCAATGCCTTTCCCTTTTTGCTCCCCTTCTGGAATACCCATGATTCAGATGTTTGTGCACTTGAGGTGGTCTGCTAGCTCTCTTAAATTTTCTTCACTTTAAAAGAATTCTTTCTAGGGTGGCCAGTGGCTCACTCGGTAGAGTGTGGTGCTGATAACACCAAGGCCACGGGTTCGGATCCTATATAGGGATGGCCGGTTTGCTCACTAGCTGAGCGTGGTGCTGACAACACCAAGCCAAGGGTTGAGATCCCCTTACCGGTCATCTTTAAAAAAAAAAAATAAATAAATAAAAGAATTCTTTCTTCCTTTTTCTTGTCTGCCTGGGTTATTTAAAAAAGACCATCTTCAAGTTCTAAGATCCTTTCTTCTGTTTGCTCTAGCCTGCTGCTCAAGCTTTCTGTTCTGTTTTTATTTCATTGAAAGAATCCTTCATTTCCAGGAGTTCTGTTATGTTCTTTTTAAAGTTATTAATCTCTTTGTAAATTTTCTTCTTCATATCCTGGATATTTTTTCTTGTTTTATTGTGTTCTCTAGTTGATTCTTTTCTTTTTCTTGGAGTTTTCTTAAAATCAGTGCTTGGAATTCCTTTTTAGACATCTCGAGGATTTCTTGCTGTATAGGGCTTGGTACTTGAGAATTACCATATTCCTCTGGCAGTGTCATGTCTTCTTGTTTATTTGTACTTCTAGTATTTTTACACTGATATTTGGTCATCTGGTAGAACACTTAATTTTTCTATCACTGGAGTGGGTTATGAGGGGGAAGACTTCCTCCTCTGTTTGGAGGTTCTGCTGGTGACTCTTCTTTTTTCAGTGCAGTTGAGTGTGTGGTGGGCTGTCTTGGTTCCTGTTCAATCAATGCATGGGTCCTGTGCATGCTGACGTGGGTGGCCCACATGGTTGTTTGGTGGGCCTGCAAGTCCTTCCAGTGATCGCTTGGGTGTGGGTGAGCCCTGTGGCTGCATTGGTCCCCTGGATGTGGCATGGATTGGATCCTCAAATTAGATAATTTAGATGAACAAATTCCTAAAGAAGCCAGGTTTCTGAAGCTGTCCCACATCATGTCTCTGTAGAGATTTCTCTGGGAAGGATCCAGCAAAGCCCTCTCTTCCTGGGTGAAGTTCACAGGCACATCCTCAAAGGTCACTGAGTCCTAGAGCATCCATTTCATGTCTTTTGCAATATCCCAGGTTCTTCCTGCAGAGCTCTCAGCACCTGCAGTTCACAGGGCCACATGGTTTCTATTGCATCTACTCAACTCTGCCATTTCAGTTTGAAAGCAGCCACAGACAATAAACAAATGGGTTTCAATAAAAATTTACTTACAAAAACAGGTGGCTATTTTCTTAGCTTTCAATATGAGGCCCTAAAAGTCTGTCTGAGCATTGTTATTTGCTAAGTCTATCCTCTTGTTTTTTTTTTTTTTCTCCAGTATTTTTTGAGTGACCTCCCACCAAGCATATGGAGTGTGATTGAACATTTGAGAACTTTGTGACCAAATACAGTCTGGATAGGAAGACCATCAAGAACATTGTGCAGGAGTTTTAAATATTTACCTGCAATTTAAATTGTCCAATAATTTAAACCGTGGGACCCTGCTTTTCATTCTGCGTAATTCTACTATTTTTCCACACAATTCCCCTGTATCAAGGCTGGCAGGCCTATCTACCTGGGCCAGTGTTATTTTATCATACTTTTTGGAGAGTTTGGTGAACTTGAGGGAAAGGTGAAATGGTAAAGAAATTTCATGACACAATTTTGGTTTTATACATAGACCTCTCCTAACTCTAAAATTTAGAATATAGATTTAATATTTTTTCTTTTAATCTTTTTTTTTCTTTAAGAGATACTAACTGACAAGATAATAAAGACAAAAATGTTATGCAGATAAATTAGAACCAGTGAAGTTGGAAAAAAAAAAAGGCCACTACAACAGTAAGAAGCCCTAGGATTTTCAACAGGAAGGAAACTAGGAAATTAGATGAAGTCGTCAGAGCCCAAGTCTTTAACAGTTTCAGTATCCTTTGTTTCTGGGTAAAGATAGCACTCCTGGCTGCTTCCCATTGCCCAGGCCCAACCAGGTGATACTGATAGGAGTTGCAGGGTCCGAAATAGACTTTCACAGCCAGTTTAGGATCTTTTAACAAGAGAGAGAAGAAGTCTGGCTTTGCACCTATGTCTAAGGACAGCTCATCCAAGTAATGGGTGAAATTGGTCTGCAGTATCTGGCTCTAGTATTCTCCAAACCTTAATGAAGAAAGTAAAAAGGGCAAATTCACAAAATGTACTAAGTTATGTAAGAATATTAGACCTTCAATGGCTGTTGAAAGAATGAATGAATGGGTGAGTGAATGAATGCATTTTGAATGAATCCCTGGTGAACAGTGTGAGTTTATCTCATCAGGAAGCCCAAGGGCAGGCCCATGGCTCATTCAGGAGAGTGTGGTGCTGATAACACCAAGGCTGCGGGTTCGGATCCTATATAGGGATGGCTGGTTCACTCACTGGGTGAGCATGGTGCTGACAACACCAAGTCAAGGGTTAAGATCCCCTTACCGGTCATCTGTTGAAAAAAAAAAAAAAAAAGGAAGCCCATATCTCAGATTGAGAGCAGGCCATAAAATAAATCATCATGAATTCAAGAAAGCTCTATGATCGTGACAAAATTGATAACCATGATTATCATTTGGTGTTTATTTAGCAGCTGCAAGTCTCCAGGAAAGTATGTACCAGTCAGGATTGCTGCAATAATTCATGTGATAACCCATATGAAAGCCTACCTCAGTGTCTTGCCCAGAGAAGATGCTTAATATTTGTTTGCTAAATTTCTAAAGTACATGGCAGTCTGGCTGGCATATAGTAGATGCTCAATAAATGTTAGATATATTAGATGTTGAATATGTAATAATCCCTTACATCTGATGTCAGGCCCCCGAGTAAACTTTCCAGGGGTACTTGATCACTGTTGAATCTCATTCCACTTTCTCAAAGAATACAAATCCTTGAACCTTCACACCAACCCCTTCCTAATTTATTTTGATGGGTTTCCTCCAGCTAACTTTTCAGAGATATTCAGGCTACTGTCACCACTGCTGCCCCCATCCCATTCCCTATCTAACCACAGAATACGGGTGGCCTGAGAAAATATGGAATCTGACATGGACATCATATAAAACTGGAATGAAATTAAGCCTAGAAAAACTTTCTGTTTTGGTATAGTTCCTATCTTTAAATTAATTCTTAAACTAGTAGCAAGAACATAAACATGCAAATTTCTAGTCTCATCCACGGATCTTCTGATTTAGTTAGTCTGGGCTATTGTCCTGGAATCTGCATTTTTATCAAGCAGCTAGGTGATTCTTGTATGTCGTTTTATCGCTCTACTTTGATAAACACTGCTCTATGTAAAGAATTAAGAAAAAATTCTTACAGATCAATTCTTTTTTCATTCCTCTTGATAATGTCCGCCATCATAGTCTTTTCTGAAGGCGAGCAGCACAAGCCTAGAAAATAAAAGGCTGGTCTGAGTAGTGGGTTTGATTCGATATCATTTGTTTTATCTAGCAGTTGACTCTTAAAATTAAACTGGCCATGTAACCACGTTATGCCAGCCAGGGCTGCTGTGTTGCTGAACTCCAGGGGAACCACTCCCATAGTGTTCTGTATGATGCTGCCCATGGAGCACAGTCCATGGCATGAACTAGGAGGTGGAGAGTGCTAAGGGAGGAGCCTGGAAGCCACGTCAAGTGGTTTTGGTTCTATGCTAGAGGTGATAGGAAGCCGTGGGAAAGCTTCCCACACTAGATAACAAGATCACACCTGCCATTTAATAAAGATCTGTCTGTCTGCTGAATCTAGGAAAATGGACTCCAGGGAGGCAAACCTAAAGTTAGGGAGACCAGTTTAAAGCTGTTAAAGTAAACCTGGTAAGAGATGAGAGTGGCCCCAACTATGGTAGGGAGGTGGGGATAAAGTAGATCGAAGCAAGAGTTATTACTGTGGGCTTACGATTCATCTCCTGTTCACAAACATCCCCCCTACTTCAAACGTGTTGAGAAATGGTGAAGTCCCCCTGCATATGGCTAGTCACCAGACATCTTAGATTCAGGTAGTCCAAAGCTAGCTCATCACTGAAGTCCTCCTGTCCAGATCTTCTTCCTTGTACCCGATCTCTGCTCATAGCACTGCTTCCCACCCACTTTCCAATACCAGAGAACTGCAAGTCATGCTTGATTCCTTTCTTTCTTTCCTGCTGATTTTACCCTTACCCATCTCTTACATTTATGTCCTCTTTTCCAATTCTGCTCTGACCCAGGCTGCATCACATTTTATTTTTTTTAACTGAAACATAATTGATTGCACATATCTGTGGGGTATAGTGTTGAATATAAATAACTGTGTGCAATATGTGTGCATCATATTTCAGCGTAGACTATTGTAGGAGCCTTCTCACTGGTCTCTGAGCCTCCACTCTTTTCTTCCTTTCAAATCTATATACCAAACTACTTCTGAAATGACCTCCCTAAAGTGTAAAATCTGATAATGCCTGTTCTTTGCTTATAACCCTTCAATGGTGCCTCTGGCTGAAGACCATTCTAAAATGCAGATTCCAGGTCCTCAGACCAAACTTACTCAGTGTTCTTAAGGGCGTACCAGATGATTTTTATGTGTAGTCAGATTTAGGCTGAACTGATCTACATTTTATAATCCAAGCTCCTTCGCATGTCTTACAAGTTCCTGTGTCCTGTCTCTTCTCCAAGATTAATCTCTCATCCCTCTCTGACTCACACATCTTGCTCTAAAAGATCAAATATTGTGTAACTCTCCATATGCGTCATGCCTCTGTACTTTTGCTCAGGAGATTCTCTATTCCATACCTGAGAAACTCAGTCATTCAAGTTTAAGTAGACCACATGCCTTGCCCTTATTCCACCCTGCTCTTCTCACAGTACTCCATGTGTTCCTCTATCAAAGCATTTGCCATATTGTGTTGAAATGGCCTGTTTATATTTTTCTGCTTCTCATCAGGTTCCAGCACAGGGCTAGGTACTCAATGAGTTTTTGTTGAACAGAATTGAACCCTGCAAGCAGGGAGATAATAGCTTTTTGAGGAGGGTGAAGTGCTGCACAGATGCTCAGAGAGAAACTTTTCAATAATTTTATAACTATGTGAGGTTGAGCTGCTCAGGTATGAAGAGTTAATTTGAAATTAAGTATGGAAGAGGCCCTAGGTCTCTTGATTTGCACATATTTTGAGGAATTTATAAACACCGCATAGGTAAAACCAGGAGACATAGATATTTTCCTTCTTAAACTGATCTGTCATGATTCAAAGAAAGGTGAATAAGTACTTAACTTTTTGGCAATTGAAATTCTCCGAACTAATATTTTAAAAGGATAAATTGTAGGTATTTATTATTACTGTATCCCCATACTTGTTATTCTTTGAATTCTTCATTAACTTTTTAGGATGTTAATTTTGTGGGAGCAGCCAAAGTTGTCAATCTTTTCATTGCAATTTTTTTGTCTCAACTCTTGCTTAAATAAACTCCACCAGGTCTGAAACACTCAGCCACCCACCTTCCCCCTCACTTACCTTTGAAAACTCTTGTCACCCAATAAGCTTGAAGTTCAGCTGTTGGGAAAATGGAACCTAGGGGCTGGATGAGACCAATGCATGCAAGGGTTGGCCTTTCCAGGTGAGGGGGAAACACGTACTTATATAGTGAGACCATATTATCTTCCACTTTAACAACTGAATCTTCAAGGAAGGGAAGAGAGAAAGTATATCCTATAGCAAAGACAATGACATCAATGTCCTCCTCCACCGTTTCATCCTCAAAGATGGCAGAAGTTTCCACGAGCTCTTTCACTCTTGGTTTCACCTTGATGGCTCCACAGAGTAGGTGACTTGGAAGATCAATATTTAGTACAGGTATCTAAGACAAACAGAAAAAAAACAGTCAGAAGGATCATTTACTGAGAAATATTGAACCCTCTTGACATTTTTTGGGGGTAGTTCTGAAAATAAAAGGGTTTCTGAGATATTCATAAAACTCTAACTTTAACTAACTCAACTAACTCTAACTAACTCTTTAACTCTAACTCAACTAACTAGTTGACTTGCCCCAACCTTTATCATGTGACTTTATTATCACATCACAAATCTCTATTCTCAATAAATGAGAGAAAACATGTAGTTGATGTGAGTAAAAGACATTTCAAAGAAAGAAGCATCCCAAAGAACTTATACAAAATGTCAGTGCCTATGGTCAGTCCCTGAGTATTGTGGCGGTTATTATTCCATTGGCGTGTCTACCATTTTTATGTTATCTAGCTTTATTTATTTTGCTGTTTCATCTGATCTCTATCTGATCATAAGTAAGGAATGGAAAATTTGTAAAATTCCATGCGTTGTGAAACTAATTAAGGGAGCAGTGTGAAAATTAATGTATACAATTAGGCTTAGTGATATTTTTTTATCTTAAGTTCCCATGAAGTCTCTGTGATAGCATGGGACATGGAGCAAAGTCTGCTTGTATTTCTGGAGTTTCCTTTTTTTTTTTGGTACAGTTGAGAACCATTTTCTTTTTCTTTTTTTTTTCAAATAAGATAATAAGTGGCCCATGTATCAGATCTCAGCATATAGCAGTCACATGGCATTTGTTAAAAGATTTTAAAGCTTTTCTTTTTCTTTTTCTTTTTTAAGGGAAGGAAACTGTTATCAACTAAAGAAAACTAAACATCTATAATGTTTGCTTGTTCCCACAATGTTGATGACGTATATCCTTGAGATCAACAGAGATTTGTCTTTAGGCAAAGAGCTAGGAATATGTTCTCGGAGGCTGCTCATGGGAAGAACCTCATAGTGTACAGAGTTAGCAAAGCATAAATTGTCAGAAAGTGACATGTTTCCCACCACACCCCTGTGAAAGGAAGGTCATAGTTTCTTGAAGCAGCCTTCTCCAATGCTGGATGACTCTAGAGCTCTTCCCGTTGATTCTAGTTTTGCTTTCTGGAGTAGATGATAACACTTCTGTTTCACCTTCTTAAGTATTTTCTTTTTTAAGACATACAGAACATATTTGGAATTCAAACTCCAGGACCCATATGATATTCATCCTTTTAGGTTGTAATTCAATCTACCATGCTAGTAACTTGGATTTTTGTAGCAAGAGGCACCTTCAGACAACCTTGCTTACCAATGAGTATACTGTAAAAAAAGTAAAAATAACTACTTGTTTTGAGGCTCAAGACCATAATTTTCATGGTTGAACCACTGATTCATCTGTTGTTCTGTCATCCATTTTAGAACCGTTCATGGCAGGAAATTTTGGAGCATAGAGTTAAACTGTGTGTGGGACACCATGTCCCAAGGATAGCCATCTTCAGAGATATGGCTCATGACCCAGGAGCCTTGCCTGGTGCTGATAAATACCTGGTAAATGAAAGGAATGATGTTTAAACTAGGGCATCATACCCTTTGGAGGAATTTACTGTGTAGGGGATGCATCATGTGTATGGCCCCAGAATTTACTGAGGTTCTGTTTCAACAATGATTGACCTTGAAATGAAGTACCTCCTAGTTTTCACTGCTCTTTGGCAACTTTAGCATAAGATGGGGTATCCAGTGGCTGATAAAAGAAGACTGCAACACACTCTTGAGAACTTCATGAAGACATGAGAAGATCTTTGGGCTCATACCAATAATAAAATCCATAAGTCTTTACAATGTTTACAGTTGTGGTTTGCTGCTCCTTAAGAGAAAGTTCCTTCTTCCTTCCTCTTCCCTTGTCCACCCACCCCAAGTTTCTTTTATAATGCAAGTGAACAATTACAATTCTTGCAAATGTATGATTATAGCCTAATAACTATATAGGCATAAATGTATGAATCTGTGTATCCCTGGGGGATGAATAACAAGGGAAACCAGCTTTCTTCCATTCTTAGAGGAACTTTGTTATATACTTGTATTTTAAAAGTCAAAAACTCTGAACTACTATGGTGATTCCCTTTCATCTCTACCTTGTTTATTCAGCTTTTCCTTGTTTTCAAAATGTATGTTCAACTGTCTTTTCGAATACCTATTTTACTCGTTTACTGTTATTCCCCCACTGTTCGAATATGTATTTGAAATGCTTCTTTCATTTTTACACACCATTTTGAGTTCTGTTGTTTCAGGCTGTCCTTGATAAACACTTAAATGAGATTCGCTTGCAAGAAAACCTGTTCACTTAAGAGGAGAAGATCATGGCCTCTGGATGCAACTCTGAATACAGATTGCTTGGGTTTGAATCCCAGCCCCTGTGTTGCCTTGGATGAGTCATTTCAACCTCTCTGTGCCTCAATTTCTCTCTCTGCAAAATGGCGGTAATAACAGTACCTACTTCATGACATTATTGCATAGATTAAAGAAGGTGATATATATATTAAGTACTTAAAATGTTGCTTGGCAAGTGATAAACACTGCTAACTACTATTATTTTGTAAATTTAGTGTGGAGGAGAAGAGTTTCATACAGTGCTTCACATCCGAAGTGAGTCAGAATTTGGAGACCAAAGTTGTGGGGAAAGGCCCTAATTCGTTAGCTTGTGACGTAGCACCTACATAAAATGTTGTATTGTTGGCTTGTGTGTGGTAATATATTTATGTCCCAATTTTTTTTTCCCTGCTGTTGCATTTATGCTGACTTGGCAATACATTGATCAGATACTAGATACTGTACTTAAATATTTTCATTAGTGTTTCTTTACTTAGAGGCCACCCTTCTTCCTTAGGATCAATCCATGTTTCAATTTGGATGCTCTGCCTATTTTATTTACTCTTTTTCTGTTGTGACCCTCCCTGCAGCAGGAGAGTCTATCCTGGCTAGCTCGACTAGCTGCAAAAGTGTAATATACGTGAGGATTTAGGCTCAGGCTGCTTTCTCTGAGATGCATGCTTCAGGCCAAAAGCCAGAGATTTGTTTTTTAATGGGAAGTGTGTGGATGACTCAGCACCATCCCATAGGATGCTTTCCGACTGTGGTAGAGAGTTAGCATTATGAACATGAACTTCCTTTAACAGAGCAGGACACCCTGAGGACTTTGGTGAGTTTCGGTTGTAATTTTAAGATTTGCAAATGTACTTAGTTCCATTCCTTACATACGTAGCTCCTGTATAGTGAGTCTCTGGTACGCCTTCTCACAGAAGATTTTGGAGTATATTACTCTGTGCATGACGTTTCATCATAAATTTATGTTATTAATATAATAAATACCAAAGAAACATTCTGTGCAAAAGATTGTTTAAGGAGCTATAAGGCTCACAAATATAGCCAAGATAATTTTTAAATATTGACAGTGGCACCATAAGCAGGTTTTTTTACATAGCGAGACCCATATAAGAAACTGGCTTTTGCAGTCCATGATTTGATTTCTTTGGAATATCTGTTCTAAGTTCAAAGCTGACCTGACCTGTTCTAGGATGGCTCCTCACGTGGCTGCTGGCTACGTCAGCTCCTTTCCTCCTGCCCATCACACTCTCCTCCCTTTGCTCAGCTCTGCTCCAAGCTCTTCCAGTTACTGCCTCCTCACTTGCTCTTCACTCTGCGGTCTGAAAGCTTTGAAAAGTGAAAAGTGGTTTCTTTTCACAAAAAAGGAGAAAATTTCCCGAGTCTAGTAAATCTCTTTCTGGTGTTAGTGACCTGCTATGTCCCCAGGCTGGCACTAACCAATACTGACTGATAGGTGACTCTGACGGGTCCCAGTTGGATAGGGGGTGGACGGGGCTGTAGCTGATTGGACGGGGCTGGGCAGGAGGTGAGCCTTGACTTGTGACTGGCTGAGGTTTGGCGTGGGTGGGCTTGGGTGTTCGTGCCGACGGGCTTTGTTTACTGCGGAGAAGAACCCGGAAGGGTGCCATATTGCTAGGGAATGCTTTCCCCTTCCCCTCCGCTTGAATGCCCACGGTGTCCTTACATTCGAGTGCCTACGGTATCCTTACACCAATGAAATCCCTTCATTAACTTGCTGGGGAGGCACCATGTTTGTTTATCGTGTTAGCTACTGGGCATCTCAACCCCGAAAGTGTAAGACTCAGGACAGGAAAGTTTTGTGGACATGGCCATGGTAAGTCCTGTGCAACTGGAGATGCCAGGCTGAGGAGGCTAGTGTAAGAGGGATGGGGCTCGTGGTTCAGGCCCTTTTGAGAGGGAATGCTTTGGGAGATGACCCATAGCTCTTTTTCCATCTTTGCCTAGATCTGTTCTTCCAGAAGGGATTTATTTTATGCCATTTCTGAGCATATCTCTCAGCACTATCTACATCTTGTAATGTTTGTCTCTTTGGCAGCTCAGCTGGTGTCATTCCTGAGCAGTGCAAAGATGACATTGGTTGGAAGGCCTCAGGAAGCACCTAAATATCTATGATCTTCGTTGGGAGTTTTATTGTCTTGTATTTAATCTTTTTTCATGATACTTGGATAACTGAAGATTATTTACAGTTCAAATATAATTCTAATATGCATTAAGTTTCTAAAAGGCATCTCCCAAAATATGACCGGGGCAACTCCTCATTAAGCCCTCTAGGTAGAAACAAGGCCTTTCCCACTGAAAATCATCTGATCAAAACTTCCCATATTAAAACTGAGGGAAACATAGCCCAGAAAAGTGAAATGACTCTAGGATACATGGCCAGCTAGTGGCAGAGCTAGGAGGTAAACTCTTTTTCCTTGATCTCCACATTTTTTATGACATCACACTGGGCAACCAACCAGCCAGTGAATGAGTACTGGAGCCTTGATTGCACAGCTGGGCTTTTCCAATATGCTCTTCCTCTTTCCTCTCCCACAAGGCACAAGGTAAGCAGAGAGCATCTCACCTGTGCAGCCTTCTTACTCAGCTCAACAGCAATATCTGAGGCCGAGTTTCCTATTCCAATCACCAGAATGTGTTTTACCTAAAATCCTTCTGGGTGCTTGTATTGGCGGCTATGGAAATACTGACCTTTGAACTTCTGGATACCTTAAGGAGAAGAAGGAAAGAAGGCTGTGAACTTCCGAGCAGGCAGTGAATCAGAAATACTGGGGGTAGGGCCCCCAAATTTGTGTTTTTTAAATTTTAACTTATCAATATACAATGCAGTTGATAAAATGTGTGTTTTGAAAAGCCCTTCAAGGAATTTTGGGAACCATTGCTTTAGATCAGTAGGTCTAAAACCTGACTTTGTATTAAAATCACCTGAGCAAACCTTGACCCAGCACTACCACATTGCATTTGAATCTTTGAGGGTGGGTTCCCAGGTATCAGAGCTTCAGAAGCTCCACAGGTGATTCTAATGTGAGGCCTGGAGGTGAACCAGTGTATTAGAAATTTTCCTGAAGGTCCTGGGAGAAAAGTGTGCTCTCTTAGGGAAGATCCTTGGGGCACCAGGACAGATGGCTGTGGGGTTCCATTGCCGGCATTTTTTTTCCCGTCACTGTCCTGTAGCAGTATATATTTCCAGGAACTCTCCCCCAGTAACCAATTTGTGGGCATGGCTCTACAGAAAATCTCCAAGGGTGCAACAAAGTCACAGGTGTTTGTCAGGATAGAAAAGGCCAAGGTAGGCACATGGCTAAAAGGGCCTCTGTAACAGAGCCAATTTGTGTGAGAATTCTCTGAAATTCTGGCAAAGACGTAGTGATTTTGGAGGAAGTTAGCTGAGCTTCCTGTGAATCAAAAACCTAAAGAGGTCAATAGAAACAAAGATGTTGTTTGGAATTTTTCATCTCTCCAGCTCCATCCCAATTTTAATATGTCCTGTTGCAGTAGTAAATCTTGCCTTTCAATCCGGACTGCATATAAAGTGTTTGGAAGCCTATTGCAAAAAGCTGGGAATCCCTGCAGACCTTACCTGGAAATGACTTCAGTGGGATGTGAGGCAAGATGTGATGGCACAGCAAACCATAACTGCATCAAAGACTGTAGTGGCTTAGAAATCTTGATTCTCCTTTGATCTTAGAATAGGATTTTTAGGTAATGCATGAATGAGCCACTCTTGAGTAGGGGACAAAAGTCCACAGATAAATTTGGCAAAAGCCATCTAATCAATTCTAATCACTGTTTAGGGATGGGATTGTGTACTTTGACTATTTTAGGTTGCTGGTTTGATTCCAGCTTGAATGACTATTGACTAACCTACTGATTGTTCTTAAGATATGTTACGGAAACTGAATGCTGTTTAAATATGCTAAGGAAATTGCTGTAGGAAGTATGTGGAAAAGAAAATGTTTACTGAGGACAAGCTGTTTGTTGGTGAATTAACCTAGCTTTTTACAAATTACATTCTGGAATGTCACATTGTTAATTTACTGCTGTTACAAGTTTTACACTGCCTGTTTTTATGTCCTTCTTTGATGATTGAATCAAGTTATTTTTCTTGTGAAACTTCCTTGTCTTGTCAGTAAAAAGAAAGGCTGATTTTGGATCAGGGCTGCTACTCCCCTGATGGGCGCCAGTCCCTCCAGGTCTCATTGATGGTACTTTGAGTGAATTCTTTCTTTCTCTTTTTTCTGTCTCAGTTACACAGAGGAAGGTGTAACAAAAGACAGCTCTGTGCTCCTTGCTGTTGCTCTGGGTAACAACTTCCCATTGGCCAGAGGATGAGAAATCTGGGTGTTTTTTCACACTAAGCACAGTTGTCTTGAATAAATACAGAGAAGGCATCACTGAGAATTACTCTAGCATAACATGGGCCTGTCCAGGGTCCTGGAAGTAAGGATGGGTAGCGTTGTAACGTACGTAGGTTTCATTTGAGTCCATTTCAGGCCACTGAAGGCAAGGACTACTAACTGTGTCCTTCCCACTCTTATTTGGCAGGCAGCTGCTAAGAATATGCTTCTTTGTGCAAAAAGGACTGACTCAACAGTAGGAACCAGTGTGAATACTGAGGAAGGACATGAGTGAGAAAAGAAAAGGAGGGCAAGATGTGGATAAGGACACAAAACACATGCCAGTCATTCAAGTGATCAATCAGCATTTATCAAGAACCTTTTGTGAGTCCACCTCTGTGTGGACTCTGTATTAGAGAAGGTATTTTATGTAAAGCACTTTGAAGAGTGCCTGGCATGTTGTCAGCATTCAATTGAATAGTAGTTGTTTATGTTTATTATTTTTAAAACAGTACATCATATTAGCAGTTCATGATCTTGTGAATAAAATAATTTATTGGTTCATTGATTCTTTTTATAATGTAGTTCACTATCTTCGAGGTACTACTTTTTAAAAATGTACGTAAATGTTCTGTCTGTTGTATTTAAATAACAATGTCAAATGGAAGCAAAGCTTGTCACACGTCTAGAAAAATGGCATACTTTTCTTCTTGTCTGCAAGTCTTTGAGTTCCTTAAACACGCTTTTCAAATTTTCAGATATTTTTCAGCATGCTGTATTGGTGATTTTTGAAGCTGTCTTAGTATAAAAATGTATGTGAAATATTAGTAGGAAGTTTGTGAAAGGGCTTTAAAATATCCAGGCAATTTTCAGCTGAGGAGTTAAAATTTCATATTTGTAGTTCAGATAGTATATTACATAAACCACTGTAGATCCTTGCTATTGAAAATGTGGTTTGAGGTCCAGCACCTTTAGCATCCCCCAAGAGCTTGTAGAAATGCAGAATCTCAGACCTCACCCTATACCTGTTGAATCAGAATTCACATTTTAGCACGATCTCCAGGTGATTTATGTGCCCATTAACGTATGAGAATCACTGATGTAGATTACATTGATAATCATAAGCAATGAACCCTTTATGATTATATAAATGTAATTTAAATTTTAATTTCTAAGCATAGTTACGAGTTCTCAGAGTATAGGTTATTGATAAAAATTGAGCATGTCTAATGAGAAGATTATGGGCTTTTTTGTTGTTGTTGTTGTTGATTATTTGTTTTTGAGGAAGCACAGGAAAAGGTAATTTCAAGTGTATTTCAAAGTTATCTGGCTATCTTTACGTTGCTATAGATTGCATTCAGAAACAAGTAATTAAAATAGTTTCCACAGGCTTCTGAGATGAATGTAGAGCAGCGAGCTTAATCAGCACATTTCTAAGAAATTCCATTTCTATGGAGAAGTTAAGAGAATGAAGCAGCTGTTTGATTTCTTCATATGTCCTTTCAAGGGAAATGAGGCAAGGAGTATTCAATGGTAATGGATATTAGTATAAATGCAGTTCCACCATCAATATCATGACCATTCAAATCTTTCATTTTAAACAGATTATTTTTCTCTTCTGCTAATATATGCAATCTATTATGTGAGGGGTATGACACTACTTTTTGGTTTTTATATCATGCTCTTATCTTTCAACAAAGAATTGAAGTGGGATACTTCTGTGGAGAATACATAAAGCAAATGTATTTCACAGAGCCTGGTTTTCCGAAGCCTTGAAGTTTCCAGTTTGGTCTAGCTTCTTAAAAGTACGTATAAAATGTTGACCTTGCAGGGGACAGGAAACTTTCCCCAGGCTAGTCTTTGTTGTAAGATAAAGAATTGTAGCACAGCAAGGTTGCTGGCTCAAAGGACAGAAAGGTTACTGATTGTTGGGAAAATATAGGAAAAATGGTCAGGGTCCCTCAGATGTTCATAATCTTGCCGAGCATTTGATGTAAATAGGCATATGCACTGACGTGTTCCTTGGTTATCGTCTAGTGTAATTGTGCATGTGCGCCCTGGTGTCCTGGGTTATGGACTTAAGTATAAGGATGAGTGGCTCTGATCCATGGCACCTCCCATCCCCGGGATGCCCCCCCATGGGGGGGGGCATGGGGAGACCACTACTGCTGCTGGAAGCTGCTGCTAGTGCCCCTGGGACTCTCTGCAAAGCCACTGCCACTGCCAGACCTGTAAGCTCCTGGACCTGTAAGCTGCTGCTGCTGAGGAAGCTGAGGACTGAGCTCATGTCATCTGCCAACAGCTCCTGGAATCTTTCCCAATTATCTAGCATGGACCGGTGTGTGACAGGTCTGGGGACCCAGCCTGGCATGTGAGGGGTCTGGTGACTCAGTCTGTACAATGGGTTTGGAAGGTATGAACCCTGGCTCTGACAATATAAATGGAAACTTAGTATAACTAAAATAATGAAACATTTTGGCTTTAGTTATGATTTGCCTTACTTTACACTGATTGATATGTAAAGATACTGGGAAAGTGCTGTAAGAAGAGAATGCTTGCTAAGATCAAGCTTTTGTTGGTGGATCAACTTAACTTCTTGAAAATTGCATTATGGAAGGTCACCTTTCTTACTTTACTGAATGTTACCAGCTTCTATTGTTAAACTTGTTAAACTATACTTAGCAAAAACCCCACCTATGTTCTCTTCCTGTAACTTCCTGGTCTGGAAAATAGATGTGGGAAGAGAACCCCAATTTGGGGTTAATTTCCCAAATGGAAGGAATGCCTCTCTCTTGAGGGTTCCATGAGATTAACCCCTTTTCAGGGTTTCTCACTGCTCAGAAGAGATGGGCTTTGAGTAATCTTTGGTGGCTCCGTCACCCAGGGGAAAAGGGGTGACAAATCCGTGGGAGGCAAAGTAACATACTTCATTCATAATTTTATTATTGGAGTAACTTTTCTATTTAAAGGTGAGCTGAACTAATGCAGAGAAATCCATTAGCTGAACTAATGCAGAGAAATCCCCCAAATACAATACCTGGAACTGAATATATTTTCGAAGATCAAAATTTGGCAAAAATTCTGAAATATTCCAGAAGTTTAGAATTGTGCAGGAAGTTTGGAAAATCTTCAGGCATTGGGAAGTCACTAAAGCAAGACATTTCTTTGCTATGTTGCTGATGACAGATTGATAGATACTCACTTGGCTATCTTCCACATATTCCTATTCGGTCAAATAAAATAATTAGTTATAATCATGCATTAAAAAATTCCTTGGTTTCCTACTCTTCTTCCTACATCTAACCCTGAGTGATGCAATTCTCTTTCATTGCTGTAGCATGACTAAAATATTTGGGTGATGAAGTGTGTGCGCCATCATTTTGTGTGATGGGACCTATTTTCTGCCTACCAGTGCTGCTCACTGGGGCTGCTTATTGGCATTCATGGAGTTGGGATGGGGACAATTCTTTTTGCACTTTGCAGGATATTTAGCATCCCTATTTAATGTCAGTCTCTGTGACAATAAGCTCCCTTCCTAAATTCCCCATTCCTAAATTCCTCCTACACACACTGTCCACCTCTTTAGGAACCAGTAAACCCTGGGACATTGGGCAGAGAACATAATAGAGAATTTCAAGTAAAATGAGCACATTTGGGGCAGGGAGTTTTTACATCTTGATTTGAATCTGTCTGCCTTCACTTTATGCTTTATAAAAATCACCCTTTCTCAAGAGATAAAGGTGAACAGCACTGATACAATCAAATCTTAAACTTGATTTTATTTTATTTTATTTTTTAAACTTGATTTTAAATGTTAGCAAGTATGCTTTGGTAAAACCCAAGGCAGCGCAAGCTATGATTGAGTTCATAATTTCCTCTTCCGGAAGTGCTATGCATAATGCCCTTTATGTTAAATCATAAAAAGAACGAAGTATAGTGATTCAGTGTCCCTGAAATCAGCATATTAGCAAAGAGGCTCTTATAAGAAAGTTTAAATAATGCTACCCAAGGACTCCTCAACTGATGTTCCTGCATATGCAGAAACTAAGGCACAATCCAGGTAAATAGCAATTGCTGTATTGACTAAGCATTAGGGTGGGTATAAAGACATGGAAAACTTGTAGGAATTCATTAATTGAAATAAATTACTTAAGGCTTACTTAAACAGCACATAGTCTCTTCCACAGAGAGGCATGTTCCTTTCTCAGCATTATTCACAGAAAATCATTACTTTCCTGCCAGATCTTGAGGTCAAGGCTCCTGAGGTCTTTCGCAACACTGAAGGAGGCAGTCTGAACTGGTGGAAAGAGCTTGGTCTATGGAATTAGATACAAGTTTGAAACCATCTCTTTCTGACTGTGTGAGCCTGGACCACACCATTCACTTCGTGAATCTATAAAATAGGGACACACTAGGTGCTCAGTAATAGTATCTATTGTTATTTACAAAGTTACAAGCTCCATAAAAGCTGTCAGTTACAGCTCACTGTTCACTGCAGTATAAAAAGGCACCTAGGGAAGCTGTTCTGACTGACACCAAAGTCACTGGCACAGGCACACTTACTATCATCACACGACTTTTTCAACATTTCCTGTGCAAGAGGTTGTACTTGATTTCAAATAGTTAAAGTAAACTTATGGGATCTTTTCTCTTTTATCAGAAAAGCTTGCTATATGTATTGGACTTCACTGTGTTGTAATTTCAGGGATTATCAGCACCAATATGGGTCATCAAAGCTAAAATGACATTTGCTCTCAGATAGATAATGTCATTTAAGAGCAATATCTAGAATCCTTGCTAAATATAGGTTTTTATTGTAAATACCCTCCTCCGTCACTCTCTTCTTGTTTTTTTCCTCATTCATTCACTCATTTATTTGCTCATTCCTACCGTGGGACTTTTTAAAATGCAGCACATTTAACTTTTCTGGTCCAGAATCAAGACTCAGATAATAACTTTGTTACAATTTCAAATGGGTTAGTAAAAGCTAGTCAGATTAGGGATGGTATGCCAGTTTTCTAGCTGGTAATTTTAGTGTGATGTTATTGTTAACTGTGTATAAGTATTAAAATCCAAAGGGAGTTTGCACTAGAATATAAACAGATTTCTGTCATACACAAGGATACAATGACCTGAACTCTGGATGAGTAAATCATGGTATTTTTATTTTCAAACTTGAGCTTTAAACTGCATAACACTTGCTATAGTTTGAATGTGTCCCTTAATGTTCATGAATGGATTAATGCCATTAGCATGGGAGTGGTTAGTTATAGCAGGAGTGGGTTCCTGCTGAAAGAACACATTAAGACTCCTTCCTCTCTTTCTTTCTCTTTCTCTGTCTTGTGAATGTGCAGGTGCTCTTTCTAATCCATGATGCCTTTCACCAAATTTTGAGACAGCAGGAAGACTCTCGCAAGATGCCAGCGCCTCAGTCGTGCACTTCCTGGCCTCCAGAACTGTGAGATAAATTTCTGTTCATTATAAATCATCCAGTCTTTGGCATTCTGTTGTAGAAGCATAAAACAAAGACAATACTGAAGTCAAACTGATGTGTAAACTATTCCTGGGTGTTGCAGCCTGATTGAACACAATGTCCTTGGCAAGACTGAATGTCTGAGTTTCTTATCCAAACAAGTTCTCAAAAAGGGAAGTATTTCATGAGGCAAAGAAGTACTGATTTTTCTCAAGACCAGATAATTTCATGAGTAATTCAGAGTAGGGGTAAAAGATGAGGGCTCCAGAGTAAGGTATCCTAATTCTACCACTTTTTAATGGCTTTGTGACCATGAACAAAGTTACAAGTCATGTAAGTCAAGTTTCCTCATTTTCTCCTGCAAAATGGGGCTCATTAATAACTCCAATATCAAACCATTGTTATGAGGCTTTAATGAGATTAGGTAAAGTATTTAGTACAATGCCTGGCTCAAGATATGTACTCAATAGGTTTCTGTCTCTTTTGCTATTATTACACTCTACTTGAGTTAACTCACCAGCCATAGTTTTGAATCAGTTAAACTAAGACTTTTATACTATAGTCAAAATGTTAGCTTTTGGGGCCGGCCCAGTGGCGCACTGCTATAGTGCGCCGCTTGGGAAGCGCGGTGGCGCTCCTGCCGAGGGTTCGGATCCCACATACAGACCGGTTCCCGCTCACTGGCTGAGCGAGGCGCGGGAGCAACACCGAGGGTTGTGATCCCGTTGCTGGTCCTAGTCCGGTGCGGGGGCGACACTGAGGGTTGCGATCCATTGCCGGACACGGAAAAAGACAAAAAGGAAAAAAAAAATGTTAGTTTTTTCAGGACCCAATAAACTGACTTTATTTTTTTTTTTGTCTTTTTTCGTGACCGGCAACAGATCGCAACCCTCAGTGTCGCGTCCATACCGGACCGGGACCGGCAACGGGATCGCAACCCTCGGTGTTGCGTCCGCACCTCTCTCAGCCAGTGAGCGGCCGGTCTGTATGTGGGATCCGAACCCTCGGTGGGAGCGCCGCCGCGCTCCCAAGAGGGGCACTGTAGCAGTGCGCCACCGGGCCAGCCCATAAACTGACTTTAAAATGTGGTTGGCTCCTCTGTCAGGTCAATTTTAAGAGGACTTTGAGTGATGGGAAGAACTGGTTCTGATGTCTGAGCCCTTTCACTAATTTTAGGGTCAGGGCAAAACTCTCTTTTGGAGGGTTTTACTTGTGTAGTTGATCAGCAAACAATGAATAACATCACAATTGCTTTTTCTGAAGACCAAGTGCTAATCTTTATTGTTGGGTTGTTTGGTAGGTAGCAGTTTACAAAAAGCTTTGTGTTTGTATGTGTTTCTTCCTATACTTAGTTGGCTAAAGTAGATGTCTATGTGTTTAAAGCAGTCTGGGTAAAATTGGGTTATTTTTTTCCAGGGTTATAAAGAGAAGATGATTAATATTGATTTTAAAAAACAAATACACATCAGGGTCTGAACTTGGCATTAGGGATGAGATTTAAACTGCAAACACAGTTTCTATCTTCAGGGAGACTATTATGATATTGAATAAAAATGCATTTGGGCTTTGGGGATGGGAAAGTAGAGACAGAGAAGGGAGGCTTTGCCATCAGACAAGACAAGGAATGGGAGAAGCAGTTTCCAAAACAGATAAATTTAACTCACAAACTTACTTAAAATACAAGCACTGCCTAAAAATGATATTTAAACACAAATACATATATATAGTCTGAATTTTTTAATGGATAGAATTTGCTGCAATTTACTTGTTTAAAGTAAATGATCATATAATAGAGGATTTTCCTAATGTAGAATTTTCAAAATGTCAGAAAACTATATGGCAAAACTAAGTTAGTTCAGATGGCACTGGTTTAGAATTTATGATCTTTTGATCATGGGTTGGACTGAAGTTTATCTTTGACTATGAAAATAAAAAGACTGTAAAAACTAAACCAAGTTTAAGGAAGATTATAAGGTTAATATTTAATCTACTCGAGGAGCAAACTTACACGTAGATTTACTAAGCAAATATGGATTTACTTATTGGTGGGAGCTAAAAAATAAACAAATTAATTTACCCACAAACACACACAAAAAATACCGGGGGTGGGGGTGGGGAAGAAGATATAACAACTATACTTTTTTTGAAATCGTTACAACAAGCAAACGGAAAGGACATTCTTGGGGGGGAGGGGAGAGAGGGAGGAGGGCGGGAGGTGTCGGTGAAGGGCCATAATAATCATATACATTGTATATTGACAAAATAAAAATTTAAAAAAAAAAATGTAAGAGTTAGCTTTTTTCTTTATGAAACATCATTATGTTGACCTCCACAAATCAATACTTTGTTCTCATGGCTAGTTACTGTAAGCAGAAGGAAATAATAAGATTGCATTTCCTTAAAAATATTCTATCATTCTTTCACTCTTTCAGATGGACCTTATGTCTATCTATCTCCTCCATCACTTGAAATGAATATAATCAAAACTCTTTTTATTTCCTGGCCCTCTAATTAGAGGCAAAATTGTGGTTCACAAAGGCTAGCTAGAGGACCAGTTGTATTAGAAGAATTCAGAGGAATTTTGAAAAAATAAAGTCTGAGTGGTCTGGGTAGGGTTAAGATATCTGCATGTATCTTAGAAGTGTTCCCCAGCTGATTCTGACACACAATGAAATTTGGGAACCATCTCTAGTAGAGTATCACTGCATTTTGCCACCTTTCCATTGGGCTGGTGTCTCCCTAGATCATGCGC